GGGACAGGCCCCACCACAACAACATGCGTGCACCCGGTTGCTAGACGGGGGCATCGTGCGGCATTCGGACACCTGTATCTTTGTCCTTCGCGCCCTGGCAGGTTGTTGTCGGACGAGGGATGGGCGTGGATTGAGACAGGTCCTCGCCTGCGGACTCGGACGCTAGCACAAGCTCATCGTCGGGATGAGGGACTGCGCTGTTGGTGCTTTGCGTACTGATGGTGCTGGTATGGCCATGCGAGGAGGGTGTGGGGAATGAAATGGGTTCAATGACATCCTCAGTGCCGACGGTGATATCCTCGCTGGGGGGCATGGGCTTGGCGGACTGCCTGCCGGTTGGGCTGAGAACTGGGTTTAATCCCAAGGAGCTGATATTAGGCGCGCTGTCCAGGACACCAGTGCCATTGTCGGCAGTGACTTCGTGGTGGGGTTGATAGAGACGGTTCGAAGTTGCGATGACGTCGGTCGGGTTCAAGCTTCCGCTAGGCTGTTGGCCATGGACGGTTGAGTGTCTTCCAGCTGCCGTCGGAATCACACGTCGGGCGGGCAAAGTGTTTCCAATGGCTTCCTTTGTGTGGCATCCCGTGCGGCTTGTTCTCGTAGAATGGTGAGTTTGGTGATGGCTCTGGGATCTTACGGCGGGGGAATTGTTGATGTAGGGAGTGGAGGTGACACCTTTGTCAGGAACCCATTTTTCGATCAGGGGCCGAAGAGGGTAGTCGGAATTGTCGGTAGCGGGCTGGAAAGCTTCGTCGTCGGAATGAAAAGATGTTCCGGCGAGGGACGGGGGAAGGTCGACGTATGAGTGGGATAAAGTATCCTCGGGCGAGCTAGTGCTGCTGCGTGTCTTTTGGGAAGGTATAGAAGGGGCGTGGTCGTCGCATGCACAGATTGAAGTATCCTTGATGCAGCCCTGGCTGTTGGGGACCTCTTGAGTAAGAGGCGCAGGAGAGGCATCACTCAAATTGGGCTTGTGTTGAGACTGGGCGTGGCGCTCCAGCTCAGTCACCATCTGGAGAAAACAAGGGTGTCAGCGAGCGCCACAAGTGGGCGTTATTAGGCGAACAAAGCGTTTCCTACCTTGACTGGGATGGGGTCAACCCCGTCATTGAGTTCAAAGAGTCGCGGATAGCTGTGACAAACCGTTACAAGCACAGGAGTATTCTCGCTGGGATAGAACAATAGAGTAACGGAGTAGTAGCTAAAAAGGTACTGGTAGATTGTGATAGCTATTGCTTGCTGAAGAGCCTTATAAACGAAGGCCGGGAGGCCTTCTTTTATACTGCTCTTCCCTGGACCCGGTGTACTGGACCCGGGGACCCGAAGGCCCAAAGACTTCGGGTCCAACCTGATTGGTCTATTTATCTAGCTAGCTTACAAAACTTTGGTTGGATCGTAACAGGTTACTGTGTAGAAGAAGGTATCGTACGTCTGGACTTTGCGCTGATGAGCGGCTATGAGACTGATTCATGATGGATCTGGATTGAATAGACTGGAGGACAAGTGAGGAGAGCAGACAAGGCAAACAAGCGCGCTCGGCGTCGAAGAGAACAAGAAATCCAGGCGATATATGTCACACGGACATTCGACTACATCACTAATCTCCCCAAGAGCCGCACGGCTGAACCCCAAGCCTTGCCACACCGTTGGATGCCTCAGGCAACCACGCCACACTCACGTTCGGGAAGTCTATTCCCCCAACGGCACGACTTACCCGGAATCCCCTCAGCACCCTCAGCGCCTTCGGCGTATTCCAGCCAACAACACAACTGCCGCCTGCACTGCCTCCACGCTAAGCCGCGCTAGCAAGACTAGGAAGGAAGAACACTGAAGGAAACTATTTAGGAAGATCCACATGTGAGCAAAATAGTGTACACTAGATAGATGCCTTGTGGCCCTGCGGCCAGATTAGGCCGATAGGAAAATGTACGTACCTATCAAAAGGAAGAAGGCTTAGGCATAAGAAGGCCAGGAAGCCCAGCCTGGATGAAAGGCTTGAAAGGATTGAATAAGGCCTTCGAGACCAAAGTAGTTTAATAGTTGAATTGAACTACTGTTCCAAGCCCAGAAAATTGCTCTTGTCACAATATATGATACCCAAAGGGAATCTACCGGATCCTCGTATCAGTTCCTGGCTAGGCCTATGCGTATTGATTCAAATCTTCAACGCTACCTCGTCGTATTCTATGTGTCTTTCTCTTATGCATAAAGCAGTGATGGAGGATGAAGAGCACACGCTACTCAATTCACTCTATGCCTTATTATACCGGTCTACATTGCCTTCTTCGAGTCTTCACCGCCAGCACGGCTGGCGGGCTTGCCGTCTTCTTTGCACCGCTTCTGCTGGTCATCGCCTTTGTCCCTGCATTCGTCACATCGTCCTCCCTTAACGTCCATCTCTGTCCGAACACAGCCAGTGGTAGTGTATGGCCTCTGGCATATCTCTCCTCTACCATAGCCCAAATCAAGTCATTTGGCGAGACCTCCCAATGCTCCTAACACCAGTGGCACGTGAACCAGGCGCCCACATCCCTGCAGAAGTTGCAAGTAGCTGTAATAATGACTCGAGGACGGGCTGGCTTAGCCTAGGTAGACGACGTGGCCGGCGCAGACTAAGTAGAAATGATATGGGTGGGCTTAGCCGCCTTGCACGCAGCAGGCTTGACTGAAGCAGGCTAGACTTGAGCTGGCCTGACCGGAACTGGAACAGTAGAAGCGGCCTCCTGGGAAAGTGTGATATTTTGTGAAACTTGAGAAGGCTCTGAGGGATTGAGCGGACCGGGCTGAGGGTTAAGAGGACCTTGATCTTGGAGCTGGATGTCCTCATCCTCCTCAGCATCCGAAAAAGCAGGTTCCAGATTGAAGTGATGAATGCGGTCCTGTTCCATGAAAATGGGGTTGGGAAGATATTTTTGAGGAACGGGAAGTGATGGGTTGTCTGGAGACTCAGACATTGACGGGGCATGTTGTTGAAGGACCGGTAGTACGCCAAATACTTCCATTTGGGTTGACTCGCGTCCGTCACTTGTGCATCGATATATCCAACCAACGGAAACAAGGCCGGGGGGCGCGACGCAACCATCGAGCGAACGGTGCGAGAAGTGAGGACGGGGAGGGTAGTTTTTGTCCGTGATGGCCGTGGAATAGTCAGTTTGGGTTATGCCATACGAATCAGGGGACTGAGGCTGGTCGGTGGCTGAAGATATGGTCGGGCCGCAAGTGTAGGATGTGTATGTCTTGTTACTGTTACTTGAGCTTGCAATTCTTTCTTGCGCCAACTGTTGTCACGCCATGTCAGCTGTCTTCGTCTGTGTGTTGAGCATTCAACTGGAGAAGGTCATACCCGAAGCTGATGCGACGCCAGGAACGCCATCTTTTCGGATCTCCTGTACCGGCCAGAGAAGGTAACAAGATGGGCAGTTGACTTTTGGATGCGTATTTGTACTCTAATATTATGAGGCCCATATGAGAAGAGAGGTTGATTGAGACAAAAGCCGGGCGTCGTTACGTGCTCGTTTGCGGATCGAGTAGTTTGTTGTGACAATTGGTGGGCGCCGTGGAGGTATGTTGATCCGGCTGGCCACTGCACCGTCGCGGAAATGGCTCTTAAGGCTTCTGTTCCTCCAACCGTGTTGACGAAGTACCGAGGCACGGGTAGGGAGCTAGGCGGTACCGATTAGGGGCAGGAATGTGCTGTTAAGGGAACCCTGGGGCTCTTTGTTCACGAAGTCTTGGTAGCTGCGTTCGAGGCTTGAGGATGGTCGGATGCGCAGCTGCGTGCTTTGTTCGACAAACGAAATGCTCAGGATGTCTCGGGGAAATGACCGGCGGATGGCCCAGGTACCAGATGAGTGGCTTCGGGTAAGCAGCTTTTTGTTGTTGTTGTTGTTGTTATTTTTAACGTCTACTTCCGCCTCCCGTAGGGCATGAGACGTGCCGCACCGGTGAGTCTAGCATACAAAATTAAGAGCAATGCCCTAACTGTCCACCAAAACCATTGATCCGAGGGCAAACCGAGGCCTATTGCCAGTGTAAATCATGTGTTGCCCATAGCGTAAACGCGGCCCAACACTTGTAATCGAATCGCCCAGTGGGCGAGCCGCCAGTATATGACGGAACCTGTAGCAATTTTTCGGGTAAGCAGCGACAGAGCGGGAAACAAGTTGCAAGGCGAAAAGGGCAGGCAGGGACGGGGACGTGTGTACTTTCAACAGTTCACAGCGCCAAGCATGTGAAACCGAGGGGGGAAACTGCAGCCGAACCACCGAACACTCGGGTACGATACCCCGATATCCCCGAGCCGCTTACGTCACTCGCACTTTCCCATTCCAGCTGCTGCGCTTACCGCGCTTACAGGGGGCCTGCCACTGTCGGGTCACATAGGTCCTCCGTGAAACACAGGCGGCAGAATCCGGTACCGCTTTTGACCCCCAGAAGCTCCCTTCTTCCGATCCTGTACCCCGCCCTCGCTTGCTTTGCAGCGTTGCCTGCGCCATACCGGTCCCACACTCATGGCGACAGCAGGCAAAAAAGAACTACAGCGCGCTCCACGCAGCCTGTGTTCCCAAGCAACGTAACGGAGATACTTGACGTCCACAACACCCGAAAGCTTAGCTCCCATGGAACACCGCACGTGCTCTAGCGAAGATATCAAGAGCAGCCGATCCAAGGATGCCTCGATCGCGCACTGAAAGAGTCATGCAGCACACTGGGGACGTGACTTCCTGAGCTTGAGCGCAGCAAGTATATACGGAACAACGCTAGTATCCATGTTGGCCAGACTGCGGCGGTAATGTATATATCTGATTGACTGGAATCCTCTGTGATGTCTCTTTCACACCTAGGCCCGGATGTGTTTTCGTATCTTTCGGATTTGAGTGCTAACCACTCTCTCTACAGCCAAGAATGCCAAACCGCCACACGATTAAACTATCCCCCAATCACGAAACGAGAGACCACAAACACCTTCCTCCTCTACTAGCTCTACCCTTCCATCCACGCTTACCGTTATAACCTAGCGATTCGCCGAACGGGCCTACACAAAGCCCTATACCCCCCATCGCCGACCGCCGTTATCCCTCTCGACGAGGATGTTCGAATACGTATCCATCTCGACAATGGAGCAGTGGGTGCAACGCTGTTGCGAAGAATTGCCCGTTGCCTCAACGGCCAGCAAGGATGGACTGACAATCACGAAGGAGGGGGACGGCCGACTGCCAATCGATCCAAAACAGTCGCCCTCGTCAGGGCCTCTCCTGGCCACAGTTGCTTCGAAGCTTTCGATGTCAACTCGTGCACCGCCGTGAAGAAGGGACCAACAAACTGAGGGAAGGGCCCTTGAAGCCATGAAGAGTACAAGTCCGTGTACGATCAAGTGAACGTTAGCGAGTGGTGGTGTTGGGAAGGCGGCCTAGTCAGGCTGAAAGACGGCCTCTCAGCTGGGAACAAGACTAACAAAGCAGAAGGGAGCTGCTGGCGCCTGGACAGGAACTGCCGGTTTATACAATGGGGATGAGGGCGGCAGGGTACAAAGGGCAGGAGTTGGCATCTGGATTGGGGAGGAATCAGGCTGTCTACGGCTACTGCATCTGGCGCGGTTAACAACGTGAACAAAAAAGCGTGGAAATACCACAAAGAGACTTGCAACGACGGAAGACCGCAGCGGGGAGCTGCTCCTAACGTAATATAATGGCTTCGCAAAGGTGTTCATCCATGTCGACGGCATTGAAGGAGTCACCAATCTACACGATGAAACGAGTCACAGGAAGGAAAGGCTTGGAGGAGTCAAGGAGGAGGATGTTCAGAGGCGAGTAATGCAATGACTAGAATAGAGAAACAACCACGATCAAGGCGACACAGTTATGAGTCCACCAGGCAAACCCCCGTTTGGTGATTGTTTGCGTGTTAAGTCTGTCAACCGGATTTCGCAGTTTGCCAGAATGGTCGGCCGCCAAAAAACGTAGGACAGTCAAGGGTCTTGGTCAAAATATTTTGGCCGGAATCAACCGAGTTGTAGGCCAGGAAAGGACGATGAATGATGATGCGCTTGCTTTCCAATGGGGAGGAGATTGGGGGTGGGGGAAGAACAAAACATACAGGTCTTCTGGCGTGCCTGCTCTGTGCCCGCCTCTGCATGTGTCCTGGATACCTGCAGCGATGGCTGTGGGAAGCAATTGCAGTTGCACCGGCAAGAATCAAAGAAGAAACGAGTCATGGACCACTATGACTGAAACTGAAGGGATTACACGAAAGGAGGGCGGCGGGCAATTGAACCAAAGAGCCAATGACTTCCAGCCTCATAGGGTTTTTAGATGTTGTCTGCTGGTCTCGAGTGACGTTTGGTGGAAGACGACGGCCCAATGTTTGCATGCAAATGACTTCTTAACGTCCTTGGACCCATTATGACGCGGAAAACGCCCTAAAAGGTTGTTATGCTCTTAGACCTCCAAAACTGACGTGAATCCTCAATTT